TTTACGAATTCAAGATAAGTTCCACAACCCATAACCTCAAAAAAATAATCAAATCTTAACAAAGTTGGTAACGTTAGTCAACTGAGATGAATAATCGAATCTGAACAAAGTTGGTAACGTTACTCAACTGAAAAAGATACGTGATATAGAAAAGAGTTAACTAAATAAGGCATTTGGTCTGGATTTAGTCAGATCTCTTTGATGGTAAGCATTTACACCAACTATCCATACGGTATGAACGTGGCCATTTATGAGTTTATTCAGAATAATTTGAAATATTCAACAAAAACTCTGACATGGAAGCGATACTTTTTTTTTGTTAGTGGGTAGTTCGCCGGTAGCCCTATCATCCCACAACATGCAATATGCTTCGATCCGTTGAGACAAAAATGATGCTGAATGGCATTAGTAACCTGGCAATTCCCAAGTTATGTTGTGGCAGGGACCCATGATATAAGTTTCTTGTTCCGTAATGACAATTGCCACTAATTTCTATGAGTGATTTTCCCACTCACAATTAACAGCTAGTGATATTATTTCGATCTGTAATAACTGAAATATTTCACTAGAACTGAACAGAATATCAGTCAACATGCGTTCAATCGAAAGATTTTGATTTCATAGAATGCATGTTAACTAATTTCGTTCAGTTCCAGTGAAATCATTCAGTTGGTTCAGAATGAAGAAATATCACTAATAGCGGTTATAATAAGGCTAGCGGCGAACTATTCACTAAGAAGTGAATAAGGTAACAAACCCGTTTCAGAGTCAGAGCTACCGGTTGTGGCTGAAATTTGAGATTCTATGTTCTATAATTTGATGAGCACTGGCGGCAATACCTCTTGGGTGGGTTTGGAAAGTTACCATTAACAATAAAATAGTATCATGATTTCGAATGAATTATTGATCTGTTCAAGAAGAGGAATTATTTTCTGATAGCATGATTCTACACATATGATTACCTATTTCCCTGACCCGGAAGAAGCTGAAGCTGCAAAATGTGAAAAAATAATATTTTCGAAAAATCTGTTTTTTTTTCGTGTGGAGTCTACCATTCGATTTCGCAAGGAATTATTTTCTCAGAAAATGATTCTACACATGATTACCGATCTCCCTGACCTGAAAGCAGCTAAGTGCAGTTTGTTTGCAGAAGTATCGAAAAAATATATTTAAATTTTTTTTTGTGTGGGAGGCTCTACCATACGATTTGGCAAGGAATTATTTTCTGATAGCATGATTACCTTCCTTCCTGACCCGAAAGCAGCTAAGCAGTTTTTAGTAAAAGTATCGAACAAAAAGAAATTTCAAAATTTCTGTTTTTTGCGTGTGGAGCCTATACCATATCCCACTGTGCAAAAACTCATACTATTGACGTTAATTCATTGTAACCAAGATACGTTGTTACGTTGTGAATTTGGTGCTATTGACATCTTAAAGATTATCTTAGAGTCGTTATATGTCCACCAACAGTACAATATCGCAGGACGTCGCAAGAACGTTGAGTAAGAGTCGAAACTGATACGTGTCATGAAACAGCTTCGTAACAGTGAAAGTACATTCTCAAATAGTATTTGCGATAACGCATTTACGTACCATGTCTTCATTTCGGAATGTAAAAAGTACATATCCCTGGACGATTTCATAACATACCTGTTTCATTATTGTTGACTCTCTTGTAACATTACTAGGATCTTTCGAAATATACAGGGTGATACTCCAAAAATGTTCACCCTTGTAACTTGGTTATTTCTAGACCAATATTCGTGAATTCTGAAAACTAATACTGGTATAATCACATAGCTAGATTTTATCACACTGGGTTTTTCATAATATGTGGGACGCGTCCTCTCATTTCTCCCACTACAGAGAACGATAAATAGGTATAATGGAGCGAACTTGGTTCAATCATCTCATGTATCGAAAGAAATAAAAAATGGTAGGTATTTTTAACAACTTGGAAACAAAAGAGTTCTGGTCAATTCTTTGAAGGATCATTTATTATTGTTTTGAGCTGCCCTATCACATCTTGATGTGCGTCCCATATATTTTGAAACACCCAGTATACATTTTCTGGCTAAAAAATATACCAAATAGTTTTTGAATTCTGCGATCGGTCCAGAAATGACTAAATTTACAAGAGGAAACATTTATGTTGGATCACCCTGATATTTACTGTAGTCAGCTCCATTGCTGAATACCCACTTATAAGAGGAGAAAAATAAATTCAGAAATGTATTCAATCAATATATGTAAGGTAGAAGTAACAATTGGAAATAAATGGATATTTGATCGACTATAATTATCCTTCCACGTATGTCACTTCAGTTAGTTAAGTTTTATGATTCTATGGGCGAATCTATTTCAAGGCTGAGGATTTCATGAAATGCACCTGAAACACCAAACAATTGTTATACACAATATCAGCATCAAATATTCATATATATCATCCTACCTTGATTCTGCCTCGATTAGTTCCCTTCCTGATGGTGTGTTCTTGATTCTCGATACTTTCACCCTCCTCTGTGGCAGTGGGTGGATTTTAGAGTGTTCTAGCCCAATGTAAGAGTTGATTTTCATGTTGTCATCATTTTTCCATACGCCTTTCAAGAATAAAGGACTTACTAATTCTTGTGTCCCCCAAATGTCTCTATTTTTGATTGAATGAAATCCCAGATACTTGGATTCTGAAATATATACCATACCTAAGTAATGAATTTACATTACCTACTATATGCATTTCACTTTTTCATACCTGAACTTCCCAGGCAAACAGTGTATTCCATCATTTCTACTAAAGTAGGTCAGAGCAGGGTAGGTTTGTCCAGAGCTCATGCATGTTCTAGTAATGTATTTAGGTATCCATCAGGTTCTGAGGTAACTTCATAAGTACTGACCTGTAAACAATGTAGTACTTGAAGACATTGATATATTCCAATGAAAGCTTCCGTGAATGACATGAATCAAACTATTTTGAGGAAGCCTGTTGGTCACTGATATACCTATATAGCTATTTGGTGATACATTTTTCTATATTGCATATGACCTAACCCCAAAAATCAAATAATATTACTGAGTTCATTTGAAACAGAGAGAGGAACAATAATAGAGGACTTGTGTGCTTGTAGTTATATTTATCACATAATTATATATTCTCTGAGGAAGATACCCGACAATAAATTATGACTGAAGCCATTATGAATCAGACAACTGTGTGCTGATACATAAACAGATAATTATGATTTTGGTAATTCAATTCAACTCACCTATCTCACCATGTTTTCCAAAAAACGCACTTCCACTTGATCTTCTTGACTATTAGTCTACCTCAAAAGTCAAAATTCACACTTTATTGTGAGACACATCAAACACAACACAACACAAACCACGCCGTCCGTCATAACCACGACAGCATCATCTCTCAAAAATGGCGAATATTAGCAAAATAGCACAAAGTGAATCAAGTTCGTGATAATAGTCCCACGGAAAATGATAAAAGTACGTCACATAAAATGTTCTGTGGATGAAATAAGAATACTTTGGAGAAGGCGTTGGAATATTGACTCAAATAAGATCACATAGACGTGCATAGGTCAGTTTACTGTTACGAAACAGCGATGTGTATCTGGGGATGTAGCAGAGTCAGCCCAAATAAGGGACGAATTAAAACGTTCCAGATATATGTTATTATCACTTATAAAAGATGTAATCTCAAAAAGGTCACCAAAGGTACAAGAAATTAACGTTACTAAATATCCCCGGGATGTTCCTTGCTCAGTGGGATACGATTTAGCAAGGAATTTTTTTCTGATAGCATGATTCCACACATGATTTCTTACATCCCTGGCCCAAAAGCAGCTGAGCAGTTTTTTGCAAAAGTGTCGAAACAAAATATTTTCGAAAAATCTGTTTTTTTTTTTCGTGTGGAGTCTACCATACGATTCCGCAAGGAATTATTTTCTGATAGCATTATTCAACACATGATTTCTCACCTCCCTGGCCCAAAAGCAGCTGAGCAGTTTTTTGCAAAAGTGTCGAAACAAAATATTTTCGAAAAATCTGTTTTTTTCTCGTGTGGATAGTCTACCATACGATTCCGCAAGGAATTATTTTCTGATAGCATGATTCTGAACATGATTATTTATCTTCATGACTCGAAAGCAGCTGAGCAGTTTTTTGCAGAAGGGTAGAAAAAATGTTTTCGAAAAATCTGTTTTTTTCGTGTGGAGTCTACCATACGATTCCGCATGGAATTATCTTCTCATAGCATGATTCTACACATAATTACCTACCTCCCTGGCCCGAAAGCAGCTAAGCAGTATTTTGCAAATGTATCGACAAAAAAATATTTTCGCAAAATCTGTATTGATCGTATGGACGTCTACCATCATACGAATCGACAAGGAATTTTTTCCTGATGGTATTATTTTACACATAATTACCTATCTCCCTAACCCAAAAGCAGATGAGCAGTTCATTGCAAAAGTGTAAAAAAAATATTTTCGAAAAATCTGTTTTTTTCGTGTGGAGTCTACTATACGATTTGGCAAGGAATTATTTTCTGATAGCATGATTCTACACATAATTACCTATCTTCCTGACACGAAAGCAGTTTTATCGAAAATAATATATATTTTTGAAGTATGACTTGGTAATAATAAGGAATGATTCTTCTATATAGAGAATGATTCGAGATTCGAGACTCAAAAGCAACTGTGCAGTGCTTTCACAATGCTTATTATTATTTTCTCAGAAAATAATAGGTTAGATATTTCCGCTTATTGATTTTGTTCTTGTTATTAACAACATCTCCGAGCTTAAATTGAAACATCGTATCATCGAACAAAAGCAAGTGAGGAATTAGGAATTTCGATATTCGATATCCAAAAGGAGGAAATGCGTGCCACTGGTCAATCGGGGAAGTTCGGAAATTCTGTCAGCCTGCTCTGGCAGCCCACTTCATGTAGGTGTCATTTTCTATGTTAATAAGGTTAGGTTTTGTTGTTTGTTATGTTGTGGATTTTAAGGTTTTAGTTGAATTGTTGATGTGTATTTTGAGTATTCCTTTCAATATTTGAATTATGAACTGAGGACATGATTTCATTCGATGAGAAATATGCATAGTGACAGTGATTCAGAAGAGTTTTATGATGCACAAGATGATTTAACTAGTAACAATTCCAGGTATTTATAATTAAACTTTGTCTAGTTACCCAAGTACCCACCTAAGTACATTGTTATATCATAATATATTATAGGTAGGTATTTGTTTCACTAGGCAGAAATGTATGATTTAGTGCCGCGGCTGGCGTTTCATAGCCTAGGCATAGCCAAGGCTAGGAAACCAGCCAAGGCCTTACATCTTCTTTTCTGCCAAGTGTAACATAATTCTTTCTCCAAATTATGTTCAATTACACCCAAAGTCCAAATAATAATCCATCATTTTTTGTTCACCCAAAATCATTGTCAGTAATGATTACCTACCAATTTGATTTAAATTACTTGGAACATTGCATAGCAACAAACTTTTTCTGCCTATGCAGTAAAAGTACACCTTTTCTGCATGTGGAGTGTTATTAAAAAGCCACTTTTAATGTCATTTGGGGAAATCAATTATTATATTAACTGTTGTGTACCAAGGGAGGAACAAGAGTAATTTCCGAGGTAATTTCAATGGAACAGGGTTAACTAAACCTAATTCATTGTTGAGGATACAGAAAATGATTAGATTATTATCTTTACTACTTAAACATTTCAATCCAAGATTCTGAAGTAAACTGTAAGAAAAAGCACATCAAGAAAAGAATGCACTTGCAAAAATTCACTGTCAACATGTCTCCCTTGTAGAAGGCACTTCAAAGAATTATACATCACCCTGTTCAATTTGCAAAGAAGAAAAGCATGTTCTGATATTACATTATAATATGTGAATAATGATATACTGAGTGTTATAGAATGATATGTCCATCTCGTGTCCATTATACATATAAGCAGTTAGGTATCTAACATAACAATCTTCGCCTACTTAAGACAACTAATAATTTCATGATCAATAGATTAACATAGAAAACGGCTAGGAAAGAAGTGAGAGTTGTGAAAATTAATTTTGATTTTATCATCTTTGAAATTTTTTCAGGAAAGTTTACCCTTGATTGATAGTTTACTCTTGATTTATTTTTACCTACCTATCATTAGTTGATGAATATCTGGAGTGGCTTTGAAAGAAAACAAAAGGTACTTTTGTGGCATTTCACTGTTGTTTATTGTCTTTCATCTGCCTATGATTATGAGTCAAAGGTAACAACAGGTAATTACTGCTAAGAGTGTTTTCATGTAATACATATTCATGAATCATCATCAATGTAACTGTTTTCATTATTACCCAGTTCTCAGTTGAATACTCCTTTGAGTATGAGACAACATATTATGAGGTTCAATACTTTGGATTTTTGATTATGCTAACTTCAGTGATAACCAAAGAACAAGATGAACACAAAACAAGCTCTGGGGGAATTTTTTGAGATCCAGTTTGGAAAATTGTTTTGACTTCCTATTGTAAATTTACTGTTTTTGGTGCTGTTTCATGTGAAAATGTCATTATGTTAAACATGGCTGTGAAGGGAATATTAGGCCCAACTAGGGGTCAACCATTATGTCCAATATCTGTACACTTGGTGTCTAATCCAGATGTAATCCATCCAATCCCACGTCCAATCTTGGGCCAATATTCTTATTCTAGCAATGCAAATGTCCAATCTCCTGTTTATTATAATATTTGATGATATCCTATAATATTAGTCCAACCATATGTCCAATCTGTCCAATCCCTGTAAGTTTTTGGGAGAGTGGATTACCCCTTTAGGCCCAATTTGAAGGTATTAACTACAGATAAGGCGCCCATACAAAAATTGCTTGGTGATTATCTGAAATTAATGATGATGGAATATTTTTGACAATCTCAAATTCTTTGTCATGATTAATTTTGATTAATTACCTGCTTTTACAAAATTTCGAATTTCTTCCTCTAATATTAACCAATTCCAAATTGCATAACATCATATTGAATGAGTTCAAATTAATAACTCTTGTGTAATTCAATCAAATTTATATCTTAACCCTTTAGGAAATAGCAATACTGTCCCTATCAAATCGGCGGGACCCTTATGACGATACTATCCCATTGACTTGCCAATTTATCATAAGTTGATATATTCTCCAAGGATAAATCACCTGGGAAGTTCAGCATAACTGAAATGGAAAGTCAGGGAATTCCTTGGGAAGTCTGGGGATTTCTTGGCAAATCTGGGAGCTCATTGAGTGATCTGGGAAGTCTTTAAGAATTCCTTGGAAAGTTATTTGGGTAATGTGGGCTATTTTTGGAAAGTCTAGAGATTCCTTATTGGGAATTCCTAGAATTTCTTTATGGAGTCGGGGAATTCCTATGGAAGTCTCTGGGTATTTTTTGGAAATTATTTGGTAGGACTTAGCGTTTCATGAATTCATAGTTTAATTCACAGTCCCTTCAAGTACAGTACTGGGAGCACCAAAGAGAGCACTGAGAGACAAAAAGTGTTCATGTTTTTTCTGAAACTACTTTTCCGAGTTATATGACAAATTCATACTAATGTTTCTTTGCAACTTTGCATACAAATCTAGTTTTCAAATTTGATACATTATAATTTCATAAAACTGACATGTGAAATCTTACCTCTCTCATAGAGAGACTGTGTATGTGATGTTGAATTAGATCTTTAACACCCACTATTCTATTGTAAAAGCTTTCACCCAGAACCGACATTCACAAAATCATGATACAAATGATTATAAATATTGAATTATATATATATATATATATAAAATATACTTTTTGAAAATCATTATATTCCTATCATTTACCATGAACTGAGATGCCTATCTATAAACCTGGAGCATTGCCCAAAATGTATTTCTCCTGTCAGTGACCGAAAATATTTCACCCTGAGCCGACCCTACAATCAATAGTTGAACGATGCTTCAGGCATATACAGGGTGAATCTTAAAATGAGTTTTTTTTCAACAGGATATATATCTCCAAAATGAGTTGTTTGGCAATATATTGCTGGTATAAAATATTAAAGATAACGGAGGTACATGTATTCAAAGGTTTAGAGATGACTCCAACTATAAAACATTTTGTTTATATTTTCTCAAAAAAACACAAAAAAGTCCTCATTAGTCCAGCATTAAATACCCTACAGTTGCATTATTTCGAGCCGAGTTTCGAGCATTGTTTCATCAGATAAATTGATCAAATACATTTCACATATTTTCTACCATAAATGTTAAATTTAGTAACTTTGATTTATTATATCATCAATCTATTCATGATATGGATACCCCGTTTTTTCTTTTCTCAATTCAATTTTATGAAAATGAGACCTAGTTAAAATAACCTCTTTTTTTTGAAAAGATTCATTTATTTGAAAAAGGTTACATATATGTAAATATATTTGGAATGATCCCTTAGCAGCACATGTTCTGGTAACAGGACTTTGATTATGAATATGGTGTTTCACATTTTTTTTTTTCATTACTAGAATACTTATTGTGATATAATATAATATTATTATAATGCATGTAATGTATTTTTAGGTTTATAACTGAACCATCATCATAATTCTCAACATTTTATTTTCAATTTTACCCTTCTATATTTTCCCACTCCTAACTAACTATTGATCTTTAATCATTTCCTTGAATTCTGCATAGTTCGGACAATTTTTTACCTCCTGAGAAGATAATTGTACTGTTGGATAGCCATGTTCAAAGGATTTTTCGATAATACATTTGTTCTTGCATAAGGAAGGTCTAGCCTTGTTTTGTCCTTTTGAGATATGACCATGTACTTGGTATCTGTATGTTAAATCACTATTTGTTTTTTGTAGTGAATTTGTTATTTTATATACAGGGTTTCCCAAAAGAACCGGAACGGTCGGATATTTCAGCAACGGCTTGACATAAAAATATGAAATTTGGTATACGGGGGTTATCAGTAGTGCCAGATCTGAAAATAATATTTTCAACGTTGCCAGATTTACAGTTTTTCCTATGGATCCCTCAACTTTATTTTTTCAAATGTAATGCTATATATATTTTTGGCGCATTTGATTTGTCGTGTTCGAATTACTATGACCCTATAATATCAAATTTCAATTCCCCTAATTTTTGTTAATATGGAAATTCAACATTTCGTTAAAAATATCACAAAATTTCAATATCACGATAAATCGTAGCATTTGAACTTCCTTTTTGAATTTTAGTTGATACCATAAAGTTAGGTACATTTTTTCAACTGAATACTGAAACAAACCAAACCCTATTGATTATGTATGAATCTTGAATCGAATTTTATTTCTGAAAATTCGTATGTTATGTACTTTCTCAACCGATAATAACAGAACTTTAATAAATATTGTTAGAATCAAGATGTATAAAGTGGCCTTTGGAAATATGTAATCAACTTCTATTGTTATTGTTGTCAACCATCTGTTTATTATCAAGATAAAATGGTTTTCTTGTTAAGTGAAGAAGTTTAAATAAATACTTAGGAAGATTTTGTGAAAATAACATGTAAATTTGACAACGTTGTAAATGATATTTTTTGATGAGACTTGCCAAAAAATTTCTAATAAATTAATTTTCATTGTCATAACGCTACGATTTCTCGAGATATTGAAATTTGGTGATATTTTTTAACGAAATGTTGAATTGCCATATTAACAAAAATTAAGCGAATTGAAATATGATATTATAGGGTCATAGTTATTTGAACATGACAAATCGAATGCGCTGAAAATATATATAGCATTACATTTGAAAAAATAAAGTTGAGGGAGCCATAGGAAAACTGTGAATCTGGCAACGATGCAAATACTATTTTCAGCTCCGGCACTACTGATAACCCCCGTATACCAAATTTCATATTTTTATCTCAAGTCGTTGCTGAAATATTCGACCGTTCCGGTTCTTTTGGGAAACCCTGTATATACTTTTCCCGTTCAGTTTTTAAGATTTCCCTAATTCTGTCTAATTTTGTGATAGCATATACATTTTCTGTAGGAGTAAGGAGTTCCAAATTGAACAAGGTTTTGATAACTTTATTTTGGAGTGTCTGTGCTTTATTAAAATTAATTTCACCACATGAG